CCTTTCTGCTTGCTCGGGATGTGCCTTCGCTTAGTTGGGAATACAAAGATCCCATAAGCGAAGGGCTCTTCGCTAGAAGAGCAACCACATCTCCGCTGCCATTTACACAAAGAGCAAGCAACAGAGATACACAGAACTCCTTCCCTGCCCTTGGAATGGAGGAGTTCAGTATCCCCACAATCGAATCCAATGCTTTGCAATGCAAAATTGCAATCGATCCATCAGCTTTCTCTGCGAGAGTTGACAGAATTTCCAGAGCATGCATGACGAGAGCTTCACTATCAAATGATGTTAAGACATGAACGAGCAGAGGAACTACTCCTGCTGCTATCACCCTCCTATGATTTGCAGGGCGTGTGAGGAGCCCAAAAATCGCAACCAATGCGTTTTTCTTGGCCTTATCAGTCCCATCCTTGATCAGCGCCATCAAAGCCGGTATGGCATCTGCATTTTCTCCGATCAATCTCCTGTACTCCTCGATCGAAGCGAGGTAAAACAATGTGCCAGCAGCATGCTGCCGAGCCTCTGATTTGAGACCTTTCTTCAACACATCTACCATCAAATTCAGACCCCCATTTTCGACAATCACGGCCTTGCTTTTCGAATACTTCGAAATATTCAGCAAGGATGCAATGGCGTTCTCTTGAGTCACCGAATCAGCTGAACACAACAGCTTTAACAAATGTGGAACCACACCGGCTTCAACCAAACAAGACCTGTTAAAAATGTTTGTTTTCGTAAGAAGCCGGATTTCATAAGCAGCCTTGTTCTGCTCTTCTACTGTCCCAACCGCAAGCCTTCCATTAAGAAACTCGGCCACCATTTTCATGGCTCCCTCATCTGCCAAACTCCCTGCAACTGCAAGCCTAGCCCTCCCAATGTCGCGATTTCGATGACCCGAATCAGCAAACGCACCACCATTTTCGAAACAGTGCTGCTGGATCAACCTCTTCAGCGCCAAATTCGGCACCACTTCCGTGTTCTTGAGCTTCTCCCCTGTCTTGGGACAAATGAGATTGCCAGCTCTGAACCATTTCGCAATCGAGCACCGATCGTAGCTCTGCCCTGTTGCTACCGTCACCGGATCAGCCATGATTTCCAGCGAAATCGGGCACCGGAAATCTTCTAAATTGAAGCAACCCACCGCCTCGCCGCCACCGCATTTGGTCTCGGATCTTCGACCCGGTTCCCCATCGACAACATCGAACAACACACATCGACAGTAGCACATCAACCCCTTCAGGCTGCTCAACAAGGCCACCTCTCTCTTCTCCTCGCTCAAATTCTCGAGAACAATTTCCGAATCCAAGAACTTGACTTGCTTCTCACACTTGCTCCACTTCCTAATCCCGAGAAACTCGAGAACCCGTTTCAAATCTCCCACGCCCGGAACGACCCGTTTCTGAAACCCGGACAAAACGGACCATACCGCCGACGCGACCCGAATATCATCCGGGTCGACTTCATACCCCGCCTTTCGCGCTTGCCTGGCCACCAATTCCACGTGCTCCTTGACCTCGACGGCGGCGCTGACCGACCCGAGAGGGAGAACATCGATAGCCGTACCCATGGCCCGACTCAGGACACGGAATTGACTCGCCACGAGACTCGAATTCATCAGCATCCATACCCGGGCGTCGTCCCTGGCCAAGTCTTCCAGCAAGAACTGAACTTTCTGGAAGGCCAAGTGGAGCTCCGACAAGCTCAGAACCGCGGAGGCCGGAAGACCCAACGACCCGTCTCGGACTTCTTCGAGAAAAACCCGTACGACTCCGACTTGTCGGATTATTTCCCGGGCGTTTCTGGCGTTGCTGGCCATGAACTTCGGCTTGAAAGAGCAAATGTTGCGGGTGAGAGCGATGAGCGACGTCAGGAGTGTCTGCGGAGCTATGGCTTCGCAGGGATGAACCGCCGGGTATGTGAGAATCCGGCGACCCGAACCGTTAGATCTTTGGATCATCGAAAAGAAAGGATGAAAAGGTCTGTTCCTTAGAGTTGGTTGGTTGTTTGTTTGCTTGTTTGGGTTCAAGAACTTGACGTCCGTGAGTTTATGTTATACGGGACACGTGTTGGAAGTATGTTCGTCGCTGACGAATACGAGACATCCGAGGGCGCCATACTTGGGAGTTCACCGTTCGACACGTGTCCTGTGAGACACCTGGGTGTTGGGAAAATGGCGGCTTCGTAGAGTGTTTCGAGTTGGGGAAGGCTAATGGGAGTGCGACACTCGAGAGAGTCGACACTTTGGGTTCTAAGGTCATTTCCAATTGAAAGAAGGTTAAAGGGTTATGTTGAGCTCTATAGTCTTATAAAAAATTATATTTTAATCAATAATGTTAGGTCATATTTTATACTATTTTTAAACGAGGGGGTCAAAGAGTGCTAAACATAGTTCTTTGACAAAAAATCATCTACAACCGAGGAGGCCAAAGGATCATAGGCCAAACATAATTTATTATTTTAATTGAATTGAACTACCATATTAAAATAAGGTTTTCGAACATATTTTGAGTGTCACTTGTCACTAAAATAATAAGTTTTCGGATTTCTTATTTTTATAGAATGAAAAGGAAGTGAAAATTTGAAATAAAATAAGTTAAGATAGTATAGAATTGTGAAAAAAAGATGTGAGAAATGGGCTAGAAATGACTTAGGCGTTTATATATAAAAAAAAAAATAGAATTTTGTTTGTTTTTTTTATTTTATAAATTTCGTCAAAAAAAGAAAAGAAAAAGTCAAACAGTAACTTGATGTCAACATGACATCAGGTAGCATGTGCTTGGGCTGGCGGGCTAGTGGACTGGCTGCTCTTGGCCAGCTTTCGGTTGGAGACAGTATTTGTGTCAAAACGGGCGATTAGCCTTATGACCCTTAGGTCGAGTCCGTTTGAGATGACCTAATAATGTGGAATTATTTGGAGGAAGTTAACGTGGAATTATTTTTAATTGTTATGGGAGAAATAATATAATTTGGTATTGATTAATATTTAAAATTTTGTTTTTCAATTGATTTATGCGAAGTCAAGGGTGTTAATTAGTTATGACTTGTGAAGAGAGGAAGGGAAGAACAGACTTCCCTTTTGTTTTCAATGATTCTCGTGATTTGAGTGTAATTTTCTAACAGTTATGGAGAATTTAAAGTGTAATTATTTAGTTTCTTATGAGTGAAGAGAATAATTATAACATATTGAAGTCGTTGCATTAAAAATAGAGAAACGGAATAATTGTACAAATGGAAAATTTTGTCTAATAGAGATGATGTCCGTCTATATGTAGTGGGTGGCAAATAGCAGGAGTGGACTCGCTCCAAAATCATCGTATGTATAATGAAGAATGAACAAGTGGTGTGAGTACCACATTTCGTGGATGTTTATATCGTCACCAAATAGAATGGTCGAGTTGATCGAATAGTTTATACGAATGTATAGGACTATGTTTGATTGAGTGATTAGTTGGAAATAAAAATTTTGATAAGCTCACTTTAGAGAGAGCCTAAAAAAACAACATAAAAGCAACAAAAATTTATTGAACACTATTTGATTTTCGAAGACAATTCCATTATTGAATGTGCCTCAATGTAGCGTTGAAATAAAATAATAAAATAAAATTTTGAAAAGGAGGGATCGGTATGAAGACATCGATTGATATTTGTATAAATCACTACCTCGCTAGTGACATCTCTTGTGGACAATCAGTAGTGAAGTAATGATCAGATCATTTTCAATTTTATTTATTTATTTTCTGCTTTTTTCTTTTTTTCATTGATTTTTTTTTATCCTTACGTTACTTTATTTAGATTCAAATGCCTTTAGATTTAGATTTATATCCTCATTTTTCGTGTGCCAAGCCTCCCCCGTTTTGAAGGCCGCATTTTTTGTGCGCCAAGTCGGCCTCAGCTTGAGCGACAGAACCCGTCTCATTTTGCATGCCAAAAGACGCAGCATTTTCGATGAGCAGAGGCTGACTTGTTTTGCATGAATGAAGCCCATTTCTTTTTGTGTGCCATGAGCTTGCCTCATTTTGCGTACACGAAGCCCGTTTCACTTTTCCTACGTTCAGGTCTGTCTTGTTTTGCGTTCGCAGAGTCTACCTCATTTGGTGTGCATGCCTAACACACATGTTTGTTTGCTAAAAGTTCAAACTTTATTTTTGCGAAATGTTTTCCAGGAGAATCGATTTATTTACGAATTTGCAAAACCGACTAAAAACCGTGAGTACCCACATTTTTTTGTCATAAATGCAAAATTTTCATTTTCGTGAAATATTTTTCATGAGCATTAAGTTAAATTGTTAAGGAATTTGAAAGCATTTTTACGGTTTATTGAGCAACAAATGTATATGTAGTAGAATATTTCATCCGAAAACTCAAAAAATAAGTAAAAAAAATATAGTAGTGAGGCCCAAAACATTGTCAAATGGGGTTCTACACTCAAGAATGTCAATGGAAAGTCTCAACTTAATTTTCAAAACTTCAGAGTGAGGTGAAGGTGAAAATAAATGGATTGAATAGTGATTTATATACGAATTTGCAAAACTAACTGAAAACCGTGAGTGTTAACCCATTTTTTTGTAAAAAAAAATGCAATTTTTTTATTTTCCCAAAATATTTTTCATGAGCATTTAAGGAAATTTTTATAATGTATTACGATGTATATTTAGCAATTTATTGAGCAACAAGTGTATATTTAGCGGTGAGGCCCAAAACATTGTCAAATGGGGTTTCTACCCTCAAGAATCTCAACGAAAAGTCTTACCTTAATTTTCAAAACTTTACGGTAAGGTGAAGGTGAAATTAAATGGATTGAACGATGATTTAAGTTTTGGGTTCAGTTGGCTCTATAGACGCTAAAAGTTTTTGGATTCAGTTGGCACATGATTAGATCAACGTATCATAATTAACAAAACAACTAATTAACATACTATTAATTTTGACCAAAAAAAAAATTTGACAAAAAAAAAATTTAACATACTATTAATGGCAGATAGAGTAAGACACAATAATCATGTAAACTGAGTCTTGATTTGTGATTTGAAAAGGAGAAAATGATGCACCAACAAACCATAGAAAGTTGATTTGCCATTAGACCAACCACTAAAATACTGATCAACTTAACCAACAATTAATTACACAGAAACGTTTCTAGAGTTCATCACAAAGAAACAAAAGTTTTTATCATCATCATCATCACCACCCTAATGCCATCATGACATCACAGCCACTTATTTTGATGCAGTTCTCCACTTATTTTTGGCAAGGACAAAAAAAGCTTATGAAGTTCATAGCCATGCAGGATTCTTCAGGGGGGTGACAACAGCCTTGACTTGCAAGTAATTGGAAAGACCGTAAATGCCTTTCTCTCTTCCGATTCCACTCATCTTGTACCCTCCAAAAGGAATAGAGGCATCAAAGACATAGTAGCAGTTTATAAATACACTACCGACGCGCAATGCTCGAGTCAATGTGTTTGCAGTGTCTATGTTTTGTGTAAAGACCCCTGCAGCAAGTCCATAGCGAGAGTTATTTGCTCTTCGTATCACCTCATTCAGATCCCTGCAATCAGCCATATCGTTAGTTCTAATGGAAGTGCCAGACGCTGTAATCACAGCAGGATTTTATTGCTTACTTGTACTTCAAGATGGTCTGCACCGGACCAAATATCTCTTCGGAAGCTATTGACATGTCATCCTACTCCACGGGACAGCAATGTTTAGATCAATATAAATATATAATCATGTTTCGGCTTCTCGATAAATATTATGGTTTTTATGATCTGCAATGTAAATTGGTACCTGAACATCTGAGAATACGGTGGGCTTAATATAGAAACCCTTTGTGCCAACCCTCTCTCCTCCGGTTTCCAGTTTAGCTCCAGCTTTAACACCGTAATCTATGTACTTCAGGATCTTCTCAAATTGGACCGAATCGATCTGATTTAGAATACAAAACCGGAAATGCAGGTGAGGCTGTGTAAACAACATTCGACAGCAGTATGTTTAATGGTCAGAGATTAATAGAGGTGTCACTTGTTTTACCTGAGGACCTTGCTCAATGCCCCCTTTGAACGGGTCTCCAACAAGGCGTCTCTCAGCACGGGCTTTTGCTTTCTCTAAGAACTCATCATATACTTTTTCATGTACAAAAGTACGAGAACCAGAGCAGCAGCATTGACCCTACAAACAGAGGTGTCATGTAATCAGCAAATGGATTTCTTTGCCCCTTAGAATCAAACTTTTTTCCGAAGACAATGCTTAGATACCTGATTAAAGAATAGAGCGAAATGTGCCATCTCAACAGCCTTATCTACATCAGCATCCTCACATACAATGAACGGGGATTTCCCGCCAAGCTCCAAAGTTACGTTCTTAAGATTGCTTTTGGCAGCCAATTCAAGTATTTTTTTACCGGTGTCAGTTGATCCAGTAAACGCAAACTGTGGAGGGATGAACGGTAATTTTAGCAGGAACATTGCAATCAGATAACAAATTGATGCAAAGTTGCAAACTGGTACATTAGCAGACGCATTACTATTACTCGAATTCGTTGCAGCCTTGAGCAACATTTGTTCATCATGAATTCGGAAAAGTTACGCTTGAGAAAAAGATGTTATTGTGGATATAATAAATATATGAGGAATTCTCAGTTCTTATGAACTTACATAAGATGGCTAACTACAAGAAAGAAGCTTACATTAATTATACATTACCTTATCAACGTCCATATGACTAGCAAGGGATGCACCAACAGTTGGACCAAAACCACTAACCACATTCAAAACACCTGGAGGAAGTCCGGCCTGTGAAAAAAAAAAAAAAACAAACAAAACAAAAGGAAAATCAATCAGCATTAGTAATTGAAAGATCAATGTGAAAGCTCATTCACATAATCCACTCGCAGGTCCAACTCAAAACAGAAAATTGTTAAAATCCGTCAAATCAGAATGAAAGGTAAAGCACCACAGTAAGCATGGAAAGGCAGATTATCTCTAAAAACTACTTCAACTGGAACAGAGACACCATTGAAGCAAATGAGACCACATCGAAGCAAACGCATGGGAAAGTGAACTTATCAAAAAAGGTGATGCGGTAAATTTTTATTCGTGTAGTACCTCTTGCAACAGAGTTGCTGCATATAGAGCAGACAATGGTGTCTGCTCTGAGGACTTCAAAACAATGGTGTTGCCGCATGCTAAAGCAGGCGCAACCTTCCAAGCAAACATGAGAAGAGGGAAATTCCATGGTATAATCTGACCTGCAACACCGATAGGTTCATGCAAGGTTTGCACATGATACTCTCCATCAGCTGGAACCGTGAGACCATGAATCTTGTCCGCAAATCCTGTGGCATATCCAAGATCAGAACATAAATTTTGTTCAAACCCCATAAAGCATGTGGTGTAGTTGTGTAAAAAAAGTCCATACCAGCATAGTAACGAAAAAACCGAACTACCATTGGTACTTCAATTTTAGCAGACTGTTCAAATGGCTTCCCATTATCCCAAGTCTCAAGGGCTGCAATTTCATCATTGTGCTTTTCAATCAAATCAGCAAAGCGGAGAAGGACTTGTGATCTTTCCTGCAAAATGATGTTCTATTAGAAAATTTGAACAAAGCACTGAACTTGAAACAATTCACATAACCATATACTATCATTGAACAAGTAAAATGAGTAGTTACATAAGCTGTCATCTTAGGCCACGGTCCTTCATCAAATGCCTTGCGGGCAGCAGAAACTGCGCGGTTTACATCTTCAGCATCGCCTTCAGCGACATGAGCAATCACTTCACCAGTCCGGGGGTCCAATGTGGGAAAAGTTTTCCCTGAGACCAAATCCAAGCGTCACACGAAGAACCAGAAAATGCTAAATTGAAGTTAAATTACAACAACATGAATGCTTGACACAATGCTGAGAAACACAAACTGTTAGACAACTCGTGAAGGAAAAGAAAGATCACCTGATGCAGAATCTACAAATTGTCCATTAATTAGAAGCTGGGTATAATTTACTTTGACGGATGGAGAGATTGGTGACTCAATGGAAGCATCGGTGCTATATTTACCAATTCCTCTAACCACAGAAGAAGACCTCCCTGGTTAAAGTAAAATCAAGTCAATTGAGTAAAATATAAACGGGGTAAAACTACTAATGTCAAATATCCAGTCAGAAAATACCACCAACACCAAAATTAAAGAAAAGTACAAGAAGATAGACATTTATGATTATTAACTTCTCTGTACTGACAGGTGATATTTTAAAGGAGAAATTATGTTCTCATCCTTCCTTTTACTTGATTAAAATCCTATTCATTTTCAATTTTTTTATCAAGGTCCTTGGGTATTAATAACATCATTAATTATTTTAATAATTTTTTTTTTTTTATTTCTAAATACATTCATTTAATGTTAAAAATGTTACTGTCACATCCCGGTCATGGGCGGATCATTTTCCGGGCCCGCTCCACCACCGTAGCACCATATTGTCCGCTTTGGACTTACCATTCTCTCACGGTTTTGTTTTTGGGAACTTACGAGCAACTTCCTAGTGGGTCACTCATCATGGGATTGCTCTAGCCCGCTTCTCGCTTAACTTCGGAGCTCCTACGGAACCTGAAGCCAGTGAGCTCCCAAAAGGCCTCATGCTAAGTAGGGATGGGAATATATATATATATATATATATATATATATATATATATATATATATATATATATAAGGATCACTCCCCTGGACGATATGGGATGTTACAGTTACAATTAGTATATTTATATTTATGACTAATTTTTTTATCATATATTTTTAGTTTTAGTTTGTACCCTTTTTTAATTTGTACCAATTTTCTTTTCAGTTTTAATTTGTACCCATATATTAATTTCTTTTTGTGCCCATATTTTTAAAGTTTATTTGTATTTATACCCATATTTTTTTTTTATTTGTACTTTTTATTTTGCTAAATGTACCCATGCTAATTATATGTACTCATTCATGTAAAACTTTTTAATCTTAAAATGTACTCATTCTTAAATATACCAATTTGTTATATGTAAAATGTACAATTTTTTATATAAAATCTATTCAATTTTTTTCTAATTCATTTTTAAACTTATATGGGTACATTCTTTTTTCTTTGATTTTAAAATGTATCCATGTCAAGTTTAATCGAAGAAATTTACTAATGTTATTAAGTCTAATATCTTTATTTTATTTTATGTGATTTTGAAGAATGTACCCATGTTTTGATAAAATTAATTTTTTGGTTAATTTTGATGAATGTACCCATGTTTACACACACACACACAATAGTATATTTATATTTTAATATTTTTAATTCCACAAATTATGGTTTTTTTTATTTAAAATCTCATTTACATAAACAACTAAAATTTCTAATTTTTAATTTTAAAAATACAGTAACGTACATAGAAATAAATTATCACATTAATTTCAGGAACCTTGATCAAAAATTCAAAACCAACAAGGTTTCAATTAAAGAATATTCATAACTAAGGACCGCATTCAAAGTCTCCCTATTTTAAACTACTTTAATCTATGAAGTATGGAGACTTCAACTTAAATGGAAATAAACGAACACATTGTGCTTTGACTAATTAATCAAATTCATGTATAATTAAGTAACATATTTAATCACCAAATAGTGTGACGAATGACATGATAATTTGGTAGGAACATCTTTTGAGATAATCATGACTAATGTGACACTAGCGTTCATGCACGCGCGACATTTTTTGAATCACGGCATACATGTTTTAAATGTATTTATATGCGTAAATTGACAAAAGAAAAGTCAAATGCTTGAAGTACATGAATAATCTTAGATCATGCTAGAATAAATCATTCATAAACCAATTAAAGCAGTTGAATTCACATAATAAAATCGGTCTCTAAATAATTTACACTAAGAATAGAGAAAATAATATTTAATAAACAATTGATTGAATCACATTATTGTTAGCCTATTGTGAGGCTAAGCCCACCCCTTCCCCTTAGTGTAGATAATATCATTTGTTAAAAAAAAAAAAAATTATTTGACAACTAATTTAACTACATTATTATCTGCGTGCGAAAAACATTTTTTATAATCGGCATTATAGGCCTCTTAAGATGTTTTAATCGTGTTTAAAAATAGAGAAATTAATATTTAATAAACTACTGATTGAATTATATTATTGTTAGTCTATTGTGAAGCTAAGCCCACCCCCTCCCCCTTAGTGTAGATAATATCGTTTGTTAAAATAAAAAATAATCATTTTACAACTAATTTAATGTAATTTAATCACATTATTATCCGCATGCGAAAAACGTTTTTTATAACCGGCATTACACGCATCTTAAAATGTTTTGATTGTGTTTAAAAATAGAGAAAATAATACTTAATAAATAACTGATCGAATCACATCATTATTAACCCATTGTGAGGTTAAGCCCACCCCCTTCCCCTTAGTGGTAGATAATATCGTTTGTTTAAAAAAAAAAAAAAATCATTTGACAGCTAATTTAATCACATTATTATCCATGTGCGAAAGACTTTTTTTATAACCGTCATTGCACGTCTCTTAAGATGTTTTAAATGTGTTTAAAATAGAGAAAGTAATATTTAATAAACAACTGATTGAATTATATTATTGCTAGCCCATTGTGAGGCTAAACTGATCTCCCTCCCCCTTAGTATAGATAATATCATTTGTTAAAAAAATAATCATTTGACAACTAATTTAATCACATTATTATCCGCGTGCGAATGACCTTTTTTTATAACTGACATTACATGTCTCTTAAGATGTTTTGAACGTTTTTTAAAATAGATAAATTGAATCACATTATCGCTAACCTATTGTGAAGTAATAATTAAAAAAAAATTTATTAAAAAAGTACAGTTAAAATGACGAAAATGATATTGCCTTATTTTATGCATTATTTTGGGATGACTTTGAAATTTTTTGTCTTAGGAGCATTTTTGTCAAATTATTTTTTATTGAAATTTAGTGACACCAAATCACTATTCACATTTTCCATTTGCTTTATATATAAATATTACTCGTTAAATAGAAGGGCTATTTCTCCTAAAAAATGCAAGTTGGCCAGTCGGGAACGTATATGGTTAAGTCAATATTCTTTTTAATCTTTATGCTTAGAGTCTAAGAATTCAAAAAATTCGGGTAGTTGAAGAGAGAAAATGAGAGTTTCGAACCTTAGGATGGGCCGATAGAATGATTGATAAGGACAATATGATTTAAAATAAATGATCTAAATATCTAGAATTGTCGTTTATGGACACAGATCCAGAGAAGATTTTTATTTCTATATCATAAAAAGATACAGTGGGTGATTGGGAAAAAGCTGAAAGCCACCGTTGAGCTTGACTCATTAGAAAAGCTAAAAGCCAGAAATAGGGATAGCAGGCATACATCAGCCAGGAAAGAACAAGCCAGTGGTGGGATCAGTTTCAGCGCCACTTGCACCAAAAAGATCAGAGATCCAAAAACGCAAGCATGTAACTCTCCAAAATTCAACAATCCATCTCATGGAAATCCAAATTTTGTTTATTCAAACAAAGAAAATTTTAATCAAACCACAAGAGAAAAATAAAGGAACTGATTTTACACACTTTTTTTCTTCTTCGAAAAAATCAAATGACGAAAATTAACAAGTTAGGTAGAAAGAAAATGAATGTGTGGAAATTATTTTTTATTCAAATGTCAATGTCAACTGACGAAAACTCAAGAATTCAAGAAATACAATTTATGATTATCAAGTTCTGAAAAATTCGAAAAAGATTCAATCTTCAGTTCTTCATCCTACGTTTTTCTCACCAACCAAACCAACATGGCAGCTAATGCATGATATTACAAAATGCAGAACACAAACCGATCGGATCCGTCGGCCATATGATCCAGGCAGCAGAATATAAACAATAAAAAAAACACAAAAGTTCGAAAAAGCGTTGGAATTGGGGAATTGGGTTAGTAGATTGATTACCTTTGGAAAACATAGAAGCAGAAGTGAAGGAACGATTCAAAAGCGAGCCGACCCTCCGAGTCGCCATGATCGATGGTTACAGCACCACCACTGATCTCTTGGTCTCTCAAGGTGACAGGTGACGGCCTACAAAAATAATTCTGAGGCTGGTTGATTTTTTATTATTTGAAAAAGAGAACTCTTTTACGGATCGGAAAAACTCATAGACATATTTTAAGTTGTTTCTCATCACTATTTAGCGATTCACCGATTCTAAGAGCTGAACTCAAAACGTGAAGTGTGAAATATGTGTTTAAAATACATCCCTAATCACTAAATCACCCGTGCAAGGCCGGTTGCATAAAGTGTTTGTTGCCTGACCAACTTTGACAAATCAAAACGTGTAATGGTGGATAAGTAGATAAGACTGAAAATTTTGGTTTGCTTTGGATAAGTTGGAATATTTAGTGGAATTAACTCAAGAAACTTTAACGAAAAATTGTTGGTACCGTTTACTTTAACGAAAAATTATATTTTTACATTAAAAAGTTAATTATGATACTATTTACTTTACCTTTTATTTTGTCTTTATCGTTAAAACTTAAAGTTTTCAAATCATTTTTATTAGTTTTGTTTTAAATCAATTGGATGCAAGATAAGAACATTACGACGACAAAAATCTGTACTTATAAAAAGTATGTTACTGTTTGGAAAAAAGAAAAAGAAAATAAAAAGACTGTTATTGCCAAAAGAAAAGAGATTTTTTCAGTTATCATTTTCTCTTTTCTTTTTCTTTTTTTTTTGGGCAAAAGTTACCATTTTCTGAGTCAGTCCTTATATTCGTTCTTTGGAAACTCCTTGAAATTGATTAATTATCTTACTATTTGAGGCTTTTTTTCTATATAGGGTTTTGTTTTTCTTCTTTTATTGGAATTTTTTTTTAAGATGACAATTTCCCCAATTTTTTTTTCTTCTTTAGTTTTTTTCCTTTTTTTACTGTTTTTAACCCATCTATAAAAAGTAAGATTAAATATATTCAGGTTAAGCAGTAATTTCATATCTGAACTTATGTTCCTAATTTATAAAAAAAATATAAAAATTAAAGTTTTTTCTCTCTTCCACCTTTCTCTTCAACTTATCTCTTTCATATACATGTTTTTCTAAATCCTTTATTTTACGCACGTAATATGTGTGCTCCGTCTAATCCGTAGAGAATTCTCCATGTCAATAAAAATAAATAAATGATCACTATGACCCTTAAATACCAGAGATTTTCACCAATTAATATTGCAGTCTAATGTTATTAATCTTCACTTATAAATGAGATGTTTTATGTTCGATTCTTGTTAAAAGCAAATTCTAATACATTATTATGGCTAGCCTAGTGTGAGGCTTAGCTCACTTCCCACTCATTAGTATATATAATATCGTTTGTTAAAAAAAATGCTAGAGATTTGCAATATTTGTTTTAAAATTCAAAGCCAATATTGTAATTCAGTTTTACAATTACTACATAATGTCGTATGCCCGTGCATAGTATGTATAACAAGAAAATTACTTAAACATTCATTAGTGAGTACCCTATATAGTATATACTCATCTTTTGATTTTAGCCTAATAATAACTTACACATGTTTTATTGTCTTAAAAAATAAAAGTAATGTTAGGTAGACTAAATTTGTAAACTAGATAATGTGTCACCAATAAGGAATAAGCATGTTAATTAACACTTAAGGAATAATCCAATCATTAACTTCCATGTCATTTAGTTTACAAATTTAGTTTCCTTACCCAATAAACAATAGACACGTTAACTAATTTATCTTGGGTTTCTTTTTTTAATAAACGATATTATCTACACTAAGGAGAGAGAATAGACTTAGTCTCACAATATGCTAGCAATAATGTGGTTCAAATTCGCCTAAGGTAAGAATCAAACTTATAACCTCTCACTTACAAGTAAAAAGAAATATTACTAAACTGTAGTATTAATAAAATAAGTATAGCATCTTTTGATTGAGTCGAATCAAGTGAGTATATAAAGTACCAAGGGTTACCCGGTGTAGAAATTGCTAGTTTGAAATGGATTATCTTGCACGCTGTTCAATGTATTGGATTAAATTTAAGTCCTTTTGTACAAAGCAAGAAAAATAAACCAGAAATCCCCAACTTTTTTCACGAAATACAGTTGAATAATGGCGGTGTACCACTTATATAATGACATATATTTTATCATTTACATAGTAAAATATATTATATCTTTATGTGTTTCGAGCATTTTGAAAAATCTTTCGAGATCCTCATCCATTTTTATATCGACACATTGTGCACGTAGTCGTCGTAGTGCACCGCTTTGTGGACGAGATGATCCAGAGATTATTTTATGCAGTTCTATCACCTTGAAATGAGTGTACATATAATATAAATTACGATAAATATCAATTTACCATTCTTAAGTTTCGTGGTTTTTAATATTTGGTAATATGAAGTTTTTTTCGTTCCAAAGTCATACTTAAAGTGTTAATTTTAGGACAGTCTCATACATCCGTTAATCTGGTTGTTACATTAGCCGTTAACTGATGATATGACGCCTATATAGACAATGATTGGATCCCACGTGTCAATATAGGCCATGTGAATGTTAAAAATTTAAAAATAAAATTCTGGGCGTTCACCCCATCCCTCCCTCCCGACCCCCTCCCTTCTCTTCCCTGCACTCATTCCCCCCCTTCTCCCTCCATTCTCTCCTCTTCTCCTCTGCAGTCCACACAGAGCTCTCCCACCCCTCCCTCCGATCCCTAACCCTAACCTCAAAATTCAGAACAAAAAAAAAAAAAAAAAAAAATCTGGGCGTTCACCCCCTCTCTCCCTCCCTACCCCCTCCCTCCTTCTCCCTTCCTTCTCTTCCCTGCACCCATCCTCCCCGTACACCCAGCCATTCCCCTTATTCTCCCTCCCCTTTCTCCTTTGCAGTCCACACATATTTATTGTTGGCAAGCCCATTTACTGTTGTCAAGAAACCCAAAAAGCTCCGCCGCAAACCGACAAAAATATGTCAAGATTTAAGGCTTTTCCTTGAAACCCATAAAAGCTCCGCCGCAAATCGCCGTAAAGATCAGGTATTTAGCTGCCTTTGCTAAAATCTCCACCTGGGTTCTTGATCTTGGTGGTGAATCTACTGTTTTCTTTCTCCTTTTTTTTTTGTTTTGAATTTTGAGGTTAGGGTTAGGGTTGGAGGTAAGGGTGGGAGAGTTCCGTGTGGACTACAGAGGTGAGAAGGAAAGGAGAAGCAGGGGAATGGGTGGGGTGTGCGGGGAGGGAGGGGGTGAACGCCCAGAAATTTTATTATTTTTAACTTTTTAATATTCATGTGGTACTTATATTGACACGTGGCGCCTAATCATTGTCCACGTTAGTGCTACATCATCAGTTAACGGCTGATTTAATAATCAGACTAACGGATGTACGAAATTGTTCCAAAATTAATATTTTAGATATGATTCTGGGACGAAAAAAAGTACCAAACGTTAAAAATCACAAAACTTGAAGGTAGTAAACTGATATTTACTCTATAAATTATATACCATGCATAGCATTGTATTGCGTATTTGATCCCATACACATGATATAATACAATATAAACCCAATAGCTCAGCAGCATCATAATTTATCTGCAGTTTCCCAACATGTGCATGGATATATATATATATATAATTTTTTTTTTTCCTGATAATGTGGTATGAAACAAGTTCTTTTATTCGGAAACCAGATTATGGGCAATGAGAGGGGAAGAGAGGGGAAGAGAGAGCGAGACCAGAGAGTGATGTGGGTATGAATCTGAAATAAAATAAAAAATTGGATAACACAGGTGTTATCTTTTGTCTTGACTGTCTGTTGGCATTTTAGATCAACGGGTCGGGGCTCCACTAACGGATTTAGGGTTTTTAAATCTGGGGATCCTAATAATAAAGAAAAACAATTATGGCAAAAAATGTCATCTTCATGGAACCATTGATATCTCACTTTGTTACGAAGTCGACCCTCAAAAAAAATTTCATCTCCACTAAAACAATTACAATCGGTAAAACCAAAGTCAACTGAATAAACAAATATACATACACAAATGTTTGATGTAACCTTTTCTTCCGTAATTTTTTTTTACCAAGGTTGCTAATCCCCTAATTGAAAAAAATCATTACCATAACCCACAAGATGAATATAAATATCAAGTTTTTTTTTTAGGTAGAATATAATATCAAGATGAGCAAGGCATGCGGTGGGAGGGACGTGCTAGGGGTTTGGGTTTTTTATTTTATTTTATTATTTTTTTTATGATACAAAGGTAAAATTCATTAGTTACCAAGAAAAGTTACAAAATAAAGACCCAAAAAAGTTGCACAAAGAAAACGTGGCCCTTGAAAACCAAAAAACAAGCAACACACCAACCAGCATACCAAAAGCTTAAGAAAAAGATTAGGCCCAAAAACATACAGCAAACCGAAGAAAACCAAACAATTGGCCTAAATGAGCGTTATGGCCCAAAAGTCTTAAAACAAAAAATTTTCTTTTGTCTTCGCAAGGTCGTTTTCTATATGAATTTCGCTTGTTTTCTATCATCTCTACTTTCAGAAATTGGTTAGCCCCTTGATGGTCCTACGAAGCTTGTCTCACGCCCCAATGTAGCGTGTAAAAATCAGTCTTCTCAATGTAGTTTACTTGAAGACGCCGCTGTTGCAGCCTGCACTGGTCGGTCTTCTCAAGGCAATTTACTTGAAGACCACGCCACTGCAGCCTGCATTGAGCGTTGTCTTTGAGTACGAGAGGTCTCCAGATAATTTTAAAGCACAATTTAGGGCCTCCGGGGGGTCATGGAACCTCTAGGTCCCTCTGTAAATCCACCACTGGCCCACTCTAACGAGATCGATATTATCCCAAACTTGGTAATTACTATCTGCCCAATTCGTCAGGTGCGAAGCTTTATCACAAGAAGTCTTGTTATTAGTTAGAGTGGAGTAATCATATTTAAACTCATTCTTTCTTCTTTCCGCATCAATGTGGAATAGCCAACATTGTCCAGGTGACAAACCTTAAACTTATCGTGATCGGCATTGGGACATTTGACTGACCACTGGTTCGGTGCAACCAAGGGGCAAAGAGCCAGCATGAACACCAAATTTTAAGATTAAAAAGATCAACTAAACGGAAGGAGACTCGGGAGACTCTTCAACAAATATTTTGTTTTTTGGGTCATAAAAGTGTTTCCTACGTAAGTAATCTCAAACGCCTCTAAATTGACAGTGCTTACATCTCTTACGAGCAGAAATGCGCCTTAGCGGATCCCAAACGGGCCATTAACATTCATCAAGTGCGTCATGCTCTGCATTTCGAAGAGGCCATTATGTGGCCCAACAGGCTTCTCAGCTCTCAATGATACTTCTTCTATATGTTGGGCTACAAAAAGACGTCAGAGAAATGATTACATAGGAATTAAAAAGCGGATCCAAAGTTGATATGGGAATCATGCGTGCATGGGTGCATGCATGTTACAGACGACAGGCCAGCTCGGCATCCACTGCTATTAACATCAAGTTAGGAAAACCTAATTATTTGGCAAAAGTTCATTGTCCCTCTCGATCTCTCTCTGTCTCTCTCAACAGTGAAAGCAATCGCCCGCAAGTTGTGATGGCCCAACAATGCGTTCACATCACACGCATCATTGCCTTCTGGGGCTGATCGATCTCTCCATCTAGAAGCCTGAAGCCATCATTGTCTCTGTAATTTTGCTGCTAATTGCTTTCTCAATAAATAAAAAAAAATGAAAAAAAGACATGGTGGAATGGGGTGTGAAAGCCGAAGGATATGTAGGGTTTGCTTTCCTACTTTGTTTACTGGAAATGCACCACACTACTTTTTACTCAGCACACACGCCCAATCAATTTCTCCAACTTATCTGTTCTTAGTTAGTCCGCAAATTGCCGACATGGTGGAATGGGGTGTGAAAGCCGAAGGATATGTAGGGTTTGTTATGTTTTATTTTTTTGTCGATGGCACGTCAACTTTGTTCTCTGCACTATTATCTTAATCTCGCTCGACTTTGCTGCCCCACAACTAATGTACCCTGTCACCTATTAACTAAAAACACTCCCAAGTCACAGCAGCCAGCCACACAAAGCCACCGCCCACATCTAATTCGAATAATTTCTTCACTTTATAATTACAGAAACCAAAAGTTTAAAAAAAAGAAGAATAAGCAAATCAGTGGCAAGATTGGTAAAATACCCACAAAGGAAGGGCGTTTATTGCGCAAATATCAAGCGTCAGACATGATATTTTGGGGAACATTTGTTTCTTTTTTTTTTTCCAACAAAAACAAAAGCCGAATTCAGCAAACCCTAATTGAGAACCTTATCATTTTATATTGTACTTTCCCATTAAACAAATAATTAAATAAATAAATATTTATAAATATTTCTAAGATAATAAATAAACATATTTCTAAAATAATAAATAAATAATTATATATATTTATATTGTACTATTAAATAAACATTATAATTTATTTTTTTTAAACAAACGATATTATTTACAAATAAACAATAATACTACATAGCCCGGGTGAGGCGTACTTTTTGTGTTTTTCACCAGATTAATTTACCATACAACGTTTTAATTCATTTTAATAACTAATTAATTATTAAAGAATATATTAAAATTTGTGGCTTTATATAAAATTGAGCGACGCCGAGAGTCCGAGACTGTGCGGTCTGTTTTCTCAGAGTGTCCTTAAAAGTTAAACCGCTAGCAAACTCACTCGCTCGCGGCTCACTCATTCATATCTCGCCTCCTTTAGGTTTTCGCTGGTTCATTCCTTTGGTGCGTTTGGCTATGGCGGACGAGAGCGTGGCGGGGTCCGCTGATTTTCCTGTGAAGAGGCCCAGGGAGGAAGAAGAGAACGGCGCCGCAGCTGCTGCCTCAGCCGTCTCCATGGAGACTGACGGTAGCAAGGAGCCGGATTCTGTCTCCGCTGTCATTCCCGGCTGGTTTTCTGAGATTAGCTCAATGTGGCCAGGTTGGTTTTCTCTTCCATCCCCATTTATTTTCTCGCTATAACTTGTGTTTGGAAGCTCAGAAATTGTGGGAAAGTTTCCAAATAGTTTATTTAATATTTATAGCTATAAATGTTATGAAATTATTGGTTTGTTTTCTGAATCGTTATTTGTTTGCCTGTTAGGTATTAATGCTTGCTAATGAAATCTTGGAAATGGGTTTTTGCACAGAATAACAGTTTAGATTGAAGCTAATAGATTGTGCCGCTTTTATGGACCACAATTGTTGGGATGCAGGGGTACAGAGTATATGATAAATTTCCCTCCTCTGCTTTCTTGTATGTCATCAAGTGTTGGAATGCAGGGGTATACTGCTTGATGTCGCTTAGCGATTCTGAGTCACTTGCAAGTTTGAAATGTTGATATTATATGGTCACATGCTCCAATACTTGCACTTTCTCTAACTATGGTGAATAATTTCTCATCAAATGTTTGTTCAAGTTATAATGCGTGTTGCTGGATGTTTGAAACATAAGATTGATAATCGGATGCTTACCAAATGAAAACAGGGATTGCTCGGTGTTTTGTTGATTGTTTATTGTATCTTCCCGTTGTTTGGTAGACTGATTATAGAACTAGACTGCAACTCTATGGAAATTGATTTATACATGATATTATGCAGGAGAGGCACACTCCTTGAAGGTAGAGCAGATTTTGTTTCAGGGAAAGTCTGACTATCAGAATGTGATGGTCTTCCAGGTAAATTGACACTTCTCATAAATTCACGTCTATTTCTAATCGTTTCAATCATTTGATCTTTAAGAAAAAAAATTATCTCAATTGATGCTACGATTTCTGTTTACAGTCAGCGACATATGGAAAGGTTCTTGTGTTGGATGGGGTGATTCAGTTAACAGAAAGGGATGAATGTGCCTATCAAGAAATGATTACTCATCTCCCACTCTGCTCAATTCCAAATCCAAAGAAGGTTAATATTATTTTTTGTTGAACTACCATTTACTAGAACTGTGTGCTTTGACAATGGTTTTTTAATAAATTCTTTTGAGTGGTTTTAGCATTGTGAATTGTTTTTGAAGTCTAATCTTTCCAAATTGGTATTGTTTAGGTTTTGGTTATTGGTGGAGGAGATGGTGGGGTACTGAGGGAAGTGGCTCGTTATTCTTCGGTTGAGAAGATTGATATATGTGAGATCGATAAGATGGTGATTGATGTAAGTGTTGATGATGATGTCTTTCGGCTTGTTCTGTTTGATGTCTTTCGGCTTGTTCTGTTTGTAATTTTAATGTATAAAACTTTTCAAAGTAGCTTGTGTAATATTTTCGTGTACACCTAGATTCATTACTTGAAGGAATTTACTTTGACTGGAGCATGCATGTTACCATGTGGTTCTCATTTGACATAGACTCTGTCAATACGCACAATTGGACTCAAGACTTCTGACTTTTATACGATGAAATGGTAACAGATTTATTTCCTTCTGCATTCCAGGTGTCTAAACAGTTTTTCCCTGAGGTAGCTATTGGATATGAGGACCCACGGGTCACACTTCATGTTGGTGATGGTACGCTTGTTCTTCTTCTGTCTAATTTTTTTTTTTCTTGCCTTTTCGTTTCATTTCTTGTAAACGGCTTACTCATAAGATTTCTCTTAATATTGTAGGAGTTGCATTTTTGAAGGCTGTTCCTGCAGGAACTTATGATGCAGTAATAGTGGATTCTTCTGACCCAATAGGTATTAATAAGAAACTACATGCATCTTGCTTTCGATAGAAATATGAGAGTTGTGAGTTTACTGGTTTTGATGTTTTTTTCTTTTTTCAATCAGGTCCTGCAAAAGAACTTTTTGAGAAGCCCTTTTTCCAGACAGTAGCGAATGCTCTTCGTCCGGGAGGAGTTGTGTGTACACAGGCAGAGAGTATATGGCTTCACATGCACATCATTGAGGATATTGTGGCAAACTGTCGCGAGATATTCAAAGGCTCTGTCAACTACGCATGGACTACAGTCCCTACATATCCAAGGTATACATTTTTCTGAGTCTCCTTCACGCATACACACACACTCTCTCTCTCTCTCTCTCTCTCTCTCTCTCTCTCATGCACACACATACACGGATGTACAAGGATGTGCCTGCCTGCATGACCACGTTTGTGTTTATAACTTGTTTAATTGCGGGATTCTTTTCATTTTGCAATTTACTAGGTGGTAAATTATCATAGCTAATGGTTTCAAAAGTGCAACAATTGACTTATAGGCCACATATTTTTTCCAAAGTTAGCTTAATCTGTTGTTTTCTTCTGTGCTTCCATCACTTGCATGGCCGTCACTAGTCAGTTACAAATTTTCTTTCATTATCACAACTTGGCGTTGTGTTGTATGTTGGTTTGTTGGTCCATCGTTAATCTGATTGAACAAGTTCCTATCTTACTGTTTATTTTGCTTTCGTTTCTGTTTCAGTGGCGTGATTGGTTTTATGCTTTGTTCTACCGAGGGACCTGCTGTGGATTTTAAGCACCCCGTGAATTCAATTGATGAGTCGAAACGATCCTTGAGATTTTACAACTCTGAGGTGTGATTTTGCTTTTTCTTGTTTTCGTTGAGCTCATCATCATGATATCCCTATTTCTGTCAGATTTAACCTTTCTTTCCTTTCTCATTTTCAGATTCATACAGCTGCTTTCTGTCTACCATCTTTTGCGAAGAAGGTTATTGACGCAAAAACAAAGTGAGGAACACTTTAGTAGCATCCAACAAGCAGAATTGTTGTTGCCGAGCGCCTTTTTATCCCGTAGTTGAAATAGTTTAATTCAGAGCAATGAACCATGGAATAATTTGATATTTGAATTGCTGTTCTAGAGTCGATCCCTATTGGGATTATTGGAGCTGTAGTAGTGATGTGAACAGTGTTTTCGAAGATCGTCTTTCCGCATGATTAATTACAGAGATGGTTATATACATGCAAGCTAGTTTTTGCCTCCATTTAATCTTCATTACATCATATTTTCCTGCAAATGCGTCATTTTTCAACAGGTCCCGAAATCAAGTGCTCCGTCTGGCGGATCATGAACATCATATGCCGTTTTGGCGTTCGTCAAACCATCGTCTCCGACGACTTCATCATCAACTTTCTTCCCCAAGCTCTGCCTTTTGCAGTTGTTGAAGTAAACCACGAAGACAACCCACTTCATCACATTCACGGTGCAGAAAACCCCAACATGAGCAACAACTCCATTCCTTCCTCCACAGCATGCAAAAAACAAGCAAGACCCTCTTAAACCGAGTCCGAAAACAGAGAAAACGGGTGAATCATCAAGTCCTTGATGCCGTTGCCGCTCACTACCTCTGATTAGAGAAGCTGAGAGCATCAATGCAACGATCAATCTTGTGGCCGTGTGGAGCAATGTTCCATTCGTAGTTGAAGGAATCGAGGTGGTGTTGTCGGACGAATTATGAGATTTGAACCAGAGTTGTTTGGGGCAATGGTTCATAGACAAGTGAGAAGCAGAAGAGAGGGAGAGAGGTGAGTAGAATAAAGTGGGTATTCTTGTAGGTCAAGTTTAGAGCTTGTTTCAGTATGTCAAATAACCCTAGATTTTGCTTCAGCATGATGTGGTTGCTTTCCATATCAACAACCTTCACCAGCTACAAATTAATCAGGGGATACTTCAGTACTTATATGAAAGGAAAATGATTTCTGTATAGACGCATACTATTTTTCAATTCAAATGCAAAAAATAAACAAGAATACAAGTGACAAGGATGTGTGCGGAAATCACTTGTCATGTAATATAAAATAGCTTATTAAGCAAGTCAACGACAATGTATTGAGAAGGCTTCGTTTGATTAAACCCAGTGGCCATCAAGTCAATGGGTTTGGATGGTATCTGACAATGATACTGTACTTGCTGGTACGTGAGGTTCTACTTCCATACATCTACATTGTCATACAAGCGGATGCTGGATTAAGACTAAAAGCTCTTCTGGATAATTAAAAGCAAAAGCTCTACGTAGGAAGCTCTTGAAATCTTAATTAAGGATTTGAATATGCTTCTAACAAAAGCACTTTTAGTGCGCTTAGAGCATTTCCAATATTGTGGTGTCAAATGCTAGATTTTGGCATGCTAAAAGACAAATTTTAGCTTCCCAAAGTTTTTTTTGATTTGTTTGCTCTCTACCAATTCGAATAGCTTGGGACGTGCTTAAAGTGATCTAACAATATTAGGGAAGAGATTTCAAACACCATCCATCACTTGACCAAAACTCCATCATCAATCACTTTAATGTCCTTACGAGATATTGAGAATTTAGCAACAAATTGGGGTTGGGTTTTATCTACACAAACTTCAATGGGATTGCATTGTGATTGAACTTGTTGCCCGCTTTCCGCATTTTTAAGTCCAAAAGGGAAGCATGGCTAATTAACCAGAGATAAATATATGTACCTGGGTCTGGATAAGCCCAAAATAAGATATTTTTCATAGCATTCTGGATTAAGGAGGCCCAATGTGCTAATGTGGGAATCTGATACTCAATGCAGCTCCACTTTCATTGTAAAAAGACGTTTATATAAGCGGTGTTTAAAATATCGGTATTGGTAAAAATAGCGATATGTGAATTTGTGAAAATATCGAATATCGATATCGATTATTTTCAATGGAAATGATGGAGCTTTAAAATGAAACTTTAGAGATTGTCAAACATTAGTTGGACAAAATACAAGAGTTTTTCTGATATTTAACATATGGGTTAGAAATATTGGTAATATATGTCGATTTTAGTCTAAACTTAAGAGTTCCTCCAATATGAGGTGAATTTAGACTTCGCTCCCCATTTCCATATATTTCTTTGATTTTTTGATATTTCCATGAAAATATCAACTGCATCGAACAAATTTTAAACTTTGAATGTAAGTAGACCTTTGAATTTTTGCACGACACGTAAACCGACACAAAAATAACATGTTTTGAGTTAACTTGTTTACGATTCGAGTTATTATCGGGTCGCCTATTAAGAACCTATTAATAAGTCGAGTCATTATAGTGTCACCCATTAAGAATCCGACAAGATATCGTTTTTCAGATCTAGACATTAGGCATGTTAATTTCTAGTATGACTCGTTAACCCGATACAAAACGACACAACCCATTAATAAATCGAGCCATTATATGGTCACCTGATAAGAACTTGTTAAGATAATAGGTTTGACATGACATAACCACTTAAATTAACGAGTATCACATGAAAACGGCATGAACACAACAAACACGATCTTTTCGTCAGGCCAAATATAAGAAAGGACAATGGTCAATCATGACATGTATATGATAAGCGTCTTCCTCCATTACCAGAATCTTGCATGATAGAGTATTAATTCATAACTCGAGGTGGCGCATGTTATTTAATCGGTAATTTGGTGATTTTGACTGATTGGACATTGATGTTATATATGTGGTGACGAGTGAGTAGGGTTTTGAATTGCTTTTGAGTTTTGAGTGCGGGTTATGTCTTCTTAATTTTAAACATACCCCGCGAATCAATCAATGCAAAAGACAGCCACAAGTCGAAAGGACGGACTTGCATCATTGGGATAGTGATTTTGCATCCTTCGTTTTTTGGTTTAGGTATACTTCTTCAATGGTCATGTTAGCATTAGTCGCACGTTTACATATAATTATCATGAAGCTCAGAAAGATTGACAGCTAGCATGCTTCTTTTGCAAAAGTTGTGCTAGAAACACTCTTTTACGCAAACATGAACAACTGTATAATTCTTCTCTCTAATGCAAGGTAGGTGATTAATACAAAAAGCTAAATGAGGAAATTTTCACCATCATAGGGTTGGTAGCTTTTCCTTTCTAAAATTGAAGTTGGAAAGAAACATAGAGCAGATTTTACCCAAATAGTAACTATATTGACACTAAAAGTGTGTGAGAAATACACACAAATAAAATTGGTTACAAAAAAGAGAATGCAAAGCAGTGACAGATCCATGATTCTAATATTAGGTGGTTCTAATTAAGGTATGTAAGGCACTTGTCTCGCAGGCCAAATACAAAGATATAAATAATGATTTTACAAATGATTCAATCAGTCATTTCTTATTGCATTCTATCTAATCATTTCAAATCCCTCAATCTAATTTTTTACAATGTATTTCCAATTAATTTAGCCTGATTTTGTTAGTCTTACGTATCTCTCATCCAAATATACGACAACGTCTAGTAAATGGCATTATATCATGATTTTTGGTGTTTCCAATTTTGTTTATTTTTATTCTTATTTTATCAAAAACTCATAACCTATTTATATTTGTGCATATATTAATCCAATACTAGACAAATTTAGAGGTGTCAAACGGATCGGCCGGCACAGGCACGATCTATTTAAATAGGGAACGGTACGACACGATTCGTAAGAAGTGGACGGACCGCACCTAAGATATAGGTTCAATGGGTCACCCGGATAGAGGCCCATTGGGCATGTTCTGAGCCTAGCACGGCTCGCGACCCTGACTTATTATAAAAAGAATTCATTATTCGTTGATTTTCAATTAAAAGAATACATTTTTAAGGTTAGTAAGACTTAATAGCAGTGATATTTAGCTTAATAACATGTTTAACTGCAGTTTGTTTTGCAGAATTTGGCGTGTTTAGTAACATGGTCCAAGTCTTAATGTTGGAAAAGGATCCTTGTCGGATCTTTTTTTTTGGGGATCTTAGGAATCCTGTGATCGCGACCGTTCATCATATATCGTGCGGTCAGAAATTATTTTAAATTTTAAAATTAAATGTAAATAGTACTTAATGAAAATTAATTGCACGATATACGATGAACGATCGTGATCACATGATCCTTAGAATCCTCAAGAAAAGAATTCGACGTAGATCATTTTTCATTTTTTATTAAAAGATTGGCTCAAGCATAATTCGTTTATTAAGTGGGCTGACTGGAGCTGGTCGGCATAAAAGAGTCAATTTAGATATCCTTTGTGACTCCGATGACGACTAGATCAACGCCTTAATACTTCAAGAGAAACTCGATCCCAAACCCATGTGAGCGAACTTGAAATGAACGAGGATGGACCAAGCCGAACGATTTGACAACTCTAGTCACAAGTTGATATGAATGTGACACAAACCACATCCCCTACAGTTGTTTTCGCTTGTACGTTTGGCTTTGATCTGAACCCATGGTCCCATGTAACATGATAACTTGTGTACTTTGAAACTATATCCACGTTATTTATATGTTAAAGAATGCCTTCTGGGTAAGAATATGCATGTCACGAGTGTATACTATTTTTTATTTCTCTAACCACATGACATATAACGTGATCTAATAAGAAGTAAAGATAAAGTAATATCTCGGTGATTTATGTTTTCCTGTAACGGTAAGGTTTGCTTACTTACTTGAGATAAGAGAAGTCATGAACAACTCCTCTATGCGAAACACATACTTAATTGTTTAGATATGACATGTATAGTACTTCAACGTGAAAATCGCCTACTTAATCCCTACTGTGTTAATAAACGCAAAATATGCCATTAATAAAAACAATAATCATACTTTACGTATCTATTCCATAATATGTGTGTATGTATATATCTCACGTTATTTAGTAAAGCAACGAGAGATACCAGACTAGTTGTCCTTATATATATATATGTGTATCACTTATGTTTAGCACTCTCATTACATTACTTAGTCTTGTAATAGGAGAGTTGAAATTGACTATCCTCATATGTTTATCTCATATGTCTATCGCTCCCATCACATTATTTAATCATGTGGTGAGAACCATAAAATTAAGGGTTCTTCTAGAGATAGATCTTTGTAACTCTTGTTTCTTCAATAGAAGCCCATCTATCTTTAAACATTCAAATAAAACTCAAAATTCAAATTTGTTGAAATGTGAGCAAAGAAATAACGTATTATTACAAATTATTTGCAATTTAT